GAACGCTGGATGGAATCTTTTGTAGCCCATGTCGGAAATTTTGGGTCAGACAACGCAAAGACAACGCCACCAGTTCGTGCCAGGGTCAAATCTCGATTTGAATTTTCGTGGTCGGTGCTGTCCTCCCGCATGTAGATATCACACGGTGTCATATGCTAAGAGGATGTCACGCAAAGTGCTCTAAGATGTCCTGCCAGGACCTGTTCCATTGGACCGAATTTGAACCACAGTTGAACTGTGGCCGGCAAAACCCAGAACCAACCGATTGCCGAGATTCCGATTGTCTCACGGTCCTTACTTATTTATGATCAAGCACTTTTGAAGCACTTTGTTCTGCGCGCTTTCCACTGTCCAGGCGAAGGAAGGCATTCCCAGATGAGCGTCAATATTACATCAATTTCCAAGACTGCGGAGGACTGTCAGTCGGCCAACCGTTGAACCGTTCAAGCAGATCGCGGCTTGTTGGTAACAGTTGAGCATGTGGGTGACTTGACCGAGGTGCTGCCATCCGGTATGGTCCTGAGGGTTGGCTATGAAGGCTATACCATGTTTTCGACGCTAAACAATGTGCAGTCGACCCTACCTTCTCGCGACATTCAATTTGAAGATTGCGAGCCACCTTCCAAGATCTATGCACTCCCCGCCTTCTCACCGAAATAAACCTGATTGGCGAGCATTCTGAAATCGACCAGACACAACCCATGTTTGTACTTATTACCAATCCCTCAGTTCGACGTACTCTTGCTGATGTACACGGCCCCGTCGGCTCAAGCCTACGCGTCCTCGCACCGAGACTTGTCTCGCTTCTCGCTCAGGTATATATTCCAAATTTACCATGAGGGAACAGTCAGATCCCCCATGAAGTTCAATCCCTCTACAGATATTCCTGATCTCTCCGGCAAAGTCATGCTCGTCACTGGAGGTAAGTGCAGTGCCAATTTGCACCGTAACTTACGTCCTGATGCTCTACGCAAGGGACGGCGGGAATTGGCAAAGAGTCCGTACTCGCTCTTGCGAAACACAACCCGGAACGCATTTATTTCACCGGTCGCGACTCTGCACGGGCAAATCAAGTCATCGCTGAGATGAAGTCCGGGGCGCCTTCCGTCACCATTGTATTCCTCGAATGTGACCTCGAGTCTTTGGCGTCCGTCGAGAAGGCAGCGAAACAATTCATCTCCCAGTCCGACCGCCTCGACATTCTCATGTGCAACGCGGGTGTCATGAACGTTCCTCCCGCATTGACCAAGGATGGCTATGAAGTTCATTTTGGAATCAACCATGTCGCGCATGCATTGTTTATCAAGCTCCTGCTTCCGACTCTGCTTCGCACGGCCGACGAGCCGGGTTCCGACGTCCGCATAGTCTCTTTGACGTCGCAAGGGTTCAGTATGCATCCTCGCGGAGGCATATTATTCGACGACCTGCGCACTACCCAGGGTTCCGGACTGGTCAAGACCATGCGTTACGGTACATCGTTCACTCTTGACCCAACGTACCTTGACAATCTCAACAGGGCAGAGCAAGCTCGCGAACATCCTTTACGCCGCCGAACTGGCGAAGAGATATGGGCCTAAAATCACTGCGGTGGGAGCTTAGATTCTGATTGCAACCCGACAATTTATCTTATCGCGCGAGACAGGTTTCTGTTCATCCCGGTGTCGTTCGCACGGACCTCCTCTCTAAACAGGGTGGCTTCACGAAGGCACTAGTCATAATGACCCATCCGTTTTCGAGGTTGACGCCTGCCGAGGGTGCTTACAACCAGCTCTGGGCTGCTACGGGGGACAAGACGAAGATCAAAAACGGGGAGTATTACGAACCTGTCGGAGTTCCTGGCAGTCATGCGCGTATGTCCCGCGATCAGAAGTTGGCGTCACGGTTATGGGAGTGGACTGAGAAGGAGTTGGAGAGTTATCACATTTGATGTTTCCTTTCCTCGTATTTCATTCTGTCCCAGCGCCGTGGGATGCTTCTTTACAACTTATTCGACCTGTGGCACACAACGTCGAAGAAAAAGTTCGTGCCGTGTTACTTGCAACATATCTTCATAGCCCTTTGGGGCTTCATCTATTTATTCAAGCATTGGTTGGAACAACCACAGAAAAAGTGTATGGCGCTGGGCTGTCTTCAAGAGCCATGTCGCAAAAATCAAAATAGCTTTATAGGGATTCTTTCACATTATATGTGGTATTGCCCTCATAAGGGTCCATAATCAGGCAAAAATCGCCCTCCAGAAATTGCGATTGCACACCACTACGTACTATGATATTCGAAAGTTGAACCAAGGTTGAAAACGGCCGGAGTTTGCCGACCGCCATCAATGTTGGTTTTCTGTCTCTTATCCTGGTATCCACTTGCAAGCTGGCGCCAGCAGTATCTTCAGATATTCTTAGCCATATTCGCTCATATCAAGGTGTCTGAGCCCGGTTTACGAATCAAAGGTCTTCTTCCGCGGGAGATTCCTGACATGTAGCCTAGTCTTTCGACGGAGGGTGTTAGTTGGTATCAAAATGCGAAGCTCACTTCTCTTCCAAGTATACGAGGGACCGTCCGAACTATAGGCAAGCCACGCCCAGACGGATACAATTTCTGTTTCTTGCGAGGTACTTAAACTCCCACTGTCGAAATCTGGTTGGACGTTTTTTTTTTTTTCGCATCAGTCGCTATCCGCGCCTCGGAGCGAAACCATGGCAGGTTGGAACGCCAATGCGTGGATGCGGCAGTGTGGACCCAATAGCACGGTTAGTTAGTGCGCCGGCGGGATCATGTGCTCCCCAAGATAACCCTTTCTTCGTCGGAGACCCTCGTTCGAATCAGGGTTGGGTCATCCCGAGTTGTTTTCAATGTGTGGTTTTTTTTTGGTCCACTGGGATTTGAAAAGGTTCAGTTGCCGAATCGCGTGGACGTTGGTTGGCTCAGTTCGTACGCGTGGCCTTCGTTGTATCGTGCCATTATCCTCGTAGAGTGTATGCCAGTGACTGTACTGGCTATTCTTCAAGGAGATTTACTCGGATTTACTTATGAATAGCGCTGTAAACACATCTCATCCGGATTCCGGTTCGACTTGCTTCGAGAAATCGTGCCGAAGCAAGGAGAGGTCTCCAAAGTGTTCAGAACTCTCAGCTCGTCCTTGAACGTTTGAACCAGCGAATTGAATCGACGGTGACGCAAAGGTTGGGATCTCAACTTTATCAAGACCTAGCTTCGAACCCGCTGTATGTAGACGACTCGGAACTTGCAAACACCAATACCGCTGCTACAATCACTTATTCGAGCAACGACTAAGCCAAAAGAAAGTTCATCGAAACTTTGTCTGCCCGCCGCCCGCTGTCCCAAAATGCAATTCGAATATACATATACGCGAGTGTCCGGGGCCGCGCTGGCAAATGAACGCCTTTCATCAACTTTTCATATGAACGCCCGAGGAGCAATGGAAATGCAATTCGCGGTTCCGCGCGGGGCGGTCCCTTCGTGCGGATTCCAGATGTGCAGATGTGTGTATAGTTTCGAGTTCAAATATGCGTAGAGTTACAGTGTAAGTGTAGGGTGTAGCCATAGGGTCTAGAGTGCAGAGTCGGAGTCGCGGGCCCGTTTTTTTTTCGCGGGAGGGCGAGTATAATGCGTGCATTGGAAGGTCTGGCGCGTGAGTAACTTGCACTCGGGGATTAAACCTCGCGCAGAGTGCAAGTGGCGGTTCATCGGGTCGCGGTGGGTGTGAAACGGGGACCTCGTAGGGTTAACATTGAGCGTTCATGAAGCTAAAACACATTAAGAGCTTTAAACATTGTCACTCGGGGTAGCGCGCAGCACTCACAGGTGACCGCAAAGCTCACTCGAAGGTGAGCCTGTCGCGCGAGTTGATGCCGCGCGCCGGCACCTGCTCCGCAACGTCCTCCTTGTCCACCAATTCCAGCCCATCCATCCCCTCAAACTCGTTCCCCTCCAGCAGCTCCATCCCATCCGCATCCTCCTCCACAAACTCCACCCGCCTCGCCGCACTCCCGTCCGCCCGGCTCTGCATCACCGCCCGCGCCTCCATGCGCTCCCTCAGCGTGCTCAGCGACAAATACTGCGCCTTCGCCTCCGCCTCGCGCTTCATCAGCTTCGCGCGCTGGCCGCCCGAGGGCGCCCAGCGGCTCTTGAGGATGCGACGCAAGGCCTCGGGGTCGACGCGGTGCAGCTGGCGCAGGCCGTCCATCGCCTCGCGCGAGAGCTTGCGCGGGGGGTTCCAGCCGTCGGGGAAAGTGTGCCGCAGGGCTGCGCGGTGGGCCTGCCAGGAGACGGGCGTGGGCTTGAGGGACGGGGTGCGGCGGGCGGAGGGGGGGCGCCGGCCGTCGCGGTCGACGGCGGCGTTGTCCTCGGAGAGGTCGACGGGCGTGCTGTCGTCGTCGAGGATGGACCGGGCGGAGCGGGTCGTGTGTCGGCGGGCGGGCAGCGCAGACGTGCTGGCCCGCACACGAGCGCGCAGAGCAAAAAGCATTGATCGGCACAGCCACGTCGGCCGGCAAACTCCGGGCGTTTTCAACCACACAAGTTGAACCGGCAAATTGAACCCATACTCCTGCTATCGAGCCTGTCTGGACTCTTTCAATTCCTTACTCAAAGACGCAATCTTTTATGCGATAAGAACTTGAGTAAGGACAGTAGATTGCCGACTTACTCTCAATCACTGTGGTGGAAAAAATGTATGACCCAACCTCGATTCGAGCGAGGGTTTCCCGCGAAAACTTGTCCATGCGAAGCATACAAATGATGGCAGGTGCACTAACCAGCTGTGCTATTGAGTCCATGCAGGCCTGTTCCATTCCAAAGTATTAGTGGGATCGATATTGTGTGAATAATCCAACGTTGATGAGTTCATCGAGTGAGCCGACCCAAGAACGAACCGGAGGCTGGGTTCTTATAAGAACTTCAGCATACAACGAGGGTGAATACAACGCGTATAAATCGCACGAAAAATATCTCCCAAGGACAAAAACAGTGTTGCGCAAAGAGAATGACCCAACCTCGGTTCGAACAAGGGCCTCCCATCGAAAAGCTTTTTTTTGCAACTGTTGAATCCTCGCGGGCGCACTAGCCAACTATGCTATTGGGTCGACGTATACTCGGGGTGCGATCAGAGTTTATCGATCAGAGGTGTGGATAATGTCCAACGACATCAACCTGCCCGTGGTGTTCAACTTGAAAGGAAGACAGAAATTTAGAGGCCGGGTTCAGCTTCTATTGCGGCCATCTCAGCAGTTCCTCCTCTATAATTCAGCATCATACTGTCCTTGCATACGATGCAAACGAAACCCGGCAAAAGATGAACTTTACCAGTGGTAAAAACAAATCTCGAAAAAGCGAACGACCCAACCTCGACTCGAACGAGGGTCTCCTGCGTCAAGAGAACACCGATCCAGCATTGGCAGGCACACTAACCATCTGTGCTATTGGGTCGCCACACACACTCCAATCTACAACTCAAGTTCAACCCAAGGTTGAATTAAATGAATTTGTTTCAATGCAAACATTACCGAGAACTCCTTCTATGGAATCAACGTGTATACCTGTATAATGCAACTTGAAGTGAAGGAACGATACAAACGATGGCCGGCAAGAAATGAACTTTGTGTACGTGGACAAAAAATAACTCCTCGCTTGCGGAATGACCCAACCTCGGTTCGAACGAGGGGCTCCTGCGAACAACCTAGAATACAGTGAACGGTAGGCAGGCGCACTAACCAGCTGTGCTACTAGGTCGATGGAAGCGCGTCGCGATCTGAGATATTAATCGATCATGATCCAACCGACCAGTGTTTAGGTTTTCGGAAGACTGAAGCCCCAGTGAGGCAGTCTATAGGATAGCAATGCATGGCACACTCGTACTTTTTGTACAAATCAACTCCAGTCTACCCAAGCAGATCAGATACAGATACATGTACAGTCCAACTCCCCGGGGGCGGAGGAGGCCGGGTAGGGGCAGGTTTGCAGACGCGTCGCGGAACTTGAGGGCGCGGGTAACGATGGGGGTGGGCGGTCCCAAGGTGAAAGTGTCGAACAACGCGCACAAGACAAGGGCCTCCGAGCGCAAGCCGAGTTATTGTACATCCTTGAATCCAGCGGTGACACCTGCTTGACGGAGATCATCCCAGCGATGACAGAAAGAGATTTCACCAAGTATCAGCGAGTACTAGTAGGACCTGGGATAACCAGAAGGGGGTTGTGAGGGTCCAGTGGGACCAAAGAAATGGAAAGCTGAGCGATGAGGCTGCGCTTGTGCGGCAAATTCAACCGTGACCGTTCAACCTGCGCCATCCATTTTCGACATTGATGTGGATATTCCTGACCACATGGAGCGCTCCCTCAGAATATTCTTCCTGTGGCCCAAGGTATCGCGTGCTCCATTCAGTCCCCGACAACGACAAAGACTTTCTCCTTCCACATGAATGGATACGCTACTCTGCGAGCTCATTCCCTCTCCTAGGACCTTCTGCAACCCGCGTCGTGCTTTAGAGAGCGCCTGACCCAGAAATGCAACAGAAATGAGTTGAGTAGTTGAACGGAAGAAGGCTTGCACAGCCGCATTGGCCGATCACTGCTTTCGATCAAGCGCTCACAACGTTTACCTCCTCTCCTTTGCTCTGCTCTGCTCCTCTCGCTCTCCCATCCCTCGTTGTTATAATAAATGGCCGACGTCAGCGATCCCGCCATCGACGAGGGTCCGTCGCCGCCCCACTTCGTGTCCCGTCACCTCTAATACTCTCATTGGCAACCAGCTTATCAGGATGTGCGCTCGGACAAGACCGACACCAACTGGCTGCTGCTCGACTATGAGGTGCCTACTCTTCCCCTCTGCTGCCCGCCCACTGGATCGCCTCGGATTCAACCTGGCTTGGGGCGAATTGGGCTATGCACTTGAGAGTGATTTGACTGACTGACGACGACGCAGAGCGACCGCTCCGACAAGCTGCAGCTGACCTCGACGGGGAAGGGCGGGCTGGCGGAGCTGCGAGACGTCCTCGACGACGGCAAGGCGTCCTTCGCCTACGTGCGTGTAGCGTACTCCAACGACAAGGAGTCCACGCGGGAGAAGTTCATACTCGTGGTGGGTCTCTACGAGCTGCAAATCGCTGCTGTGGTGCAATTTGTGCGTTGTTCTGACTGGGACGCAGGTGTGGATCGGCCCGCAATGCAAGGTCATGCGCAAAGCCAAGGCGCGTCCTGTTCCTATCCATCCACGCCCCACCTTCGCGTACTGATCCTCTTTCTTTCGCTATCGCTATCGCTTTCCTTTCGCTTTTCCCCACCCCACCCCACCCCTCTTCCCATCCTCCCCACGATCTCCTACTCGCATCTCATCTCATCGTGGATCCTCCCTGTCTGCATACGATACACCATTTCGACACACTACGCTCGCAAACAGATCTCCGTCCACGCCGCCGACATCAAGAGCGCGCTGCGCGTCTACTCCATCGAGGTCGCCGCGCGCGAAAAAGACGACCTCCTCGAGGACCCCATCGTCGTCCGTCTCCGGAAGGTGCGTTTCCTTCGCCTTCGCCTTCGACCTTCGCATTTGTGTCTTCCCATTTGCCCCATTGCCCCATCTTGTTCTTCCCCCGTTCGTCCGTTCCTGTTCCCGTCCCCCTCCTCTCCATTATGCCCCACACCTGTCCGCGTCTTTTGCACCTACATACATCTCCTCGCGTCCCAACCCTAAAACCTTATTCCCCTCTTTGCTTCGCGTCACTGACGACATCCCTCGCTATGGCGATCTATTACATGTACATACAGGCTGGCGGCGCGAGTTATGACGGCGTATAGCGTTATAGCGTTCTTTGGTCCAAGTCTCAAGGAGGGAACAGGGAGCGGGGTGCGTTCAAATAATCGGCTGGAATACAGAATACACCATACAAAGGCGAGACGGGGAGAGATGAGAAAGAGAGAATATTTAACCTTTTTGTACACATAAACGCAGCTCCACCGGGGCCGAGCGTGAGCGTGGGGTGAAGTGGGTCTTGGATTCGCGTCCGACGCCGTCAAGTGCATAAGGAGATGGGTGGCGCAACCCTGCTGAGTTAACTTTCAGGATCGACCCCTCGCGTCGACGCGTCGATACCGGATTTGGGGCGCGCGCCTGAAAATGAAAGTCAGAAAGTGAAAGTGAATCTGAAGGGGAGGGGAGGGAAAGTCAGAAAGTAAAATTGAAGGCGAAGATTGGGGGAGGAAAATCCGGGGAGTCATAATTTAGAAGGACAAAGTGAATTCGAAGGGTGGAGGGCGATCTGCGAATCCCCCACGGGCGGGGTTCGAATAAATGGGCCCGGAATTCAAGTTGGGCCCCGGTCAATTGAGGTGACGAAAAAGAAAAGGCAAAATTGACTCGGAGGGGAAGAGTCAGAAAGTAACTGTGAACGCGAATCCCTAAAGAAAGGACGCGGGGTCCAGGAGGGGATCGTCAGAGTCAGAGTCAGACGCTTCGACGGCCCTGCGAATCCAGCGACACAAAATAGTCGTGTCCACTCTTACACTCTTAAGCTCTATACAGTTAGTTACATTTGTGAATCTCGCGAAGGCCAGGGACGCAGAGAAGAAGGGGGAAGTGGGGAAGGGGGAAGGGGGAAGGGGGAAGGGGAAGGGGGATCCTCCAGTAGTTTTGCGTTCTGGGTTCTATGCGTCCCTGCATCGCGGGGCCTGCGCCACGTCTTGCTTTCTCCTCGTCGGTTCTTCGCCGTTCGCCGTTCCCTCTTTCTCTAGATCTCCGTCCACAAGGAGAAGGCGGAGAAGGCGGGTTGAACCGCCGTCTCCTTCCCTTCCATCCGTTCTCCACCCCGTCCACCCAAACGCGCCCATTCGCCGCCTCTTCCATTCCTTCCCCTCCTTTCCCCCGTCCAAACCCTCCCTTCCCATCCCTTACGCTTTCTCAAGCGCGAACTTCCCGAGTGTCCTGATCCCCGCCTCGTCCAGCCGCATTCCGACCCACTCGTCCATCTTCGTCGCCGCGAGCGTCTGCTCGTAGAACGCGATGGAGGGGGCGTTCCACTGCGAGCGTTGGCGTGAGTAATTTGAAGTGTGTAAGAGGGAGAAGAGGGGAAGGACGGGGGGAAGAGAGGCGAAGGGAAGGAAGGGGAGAGGGGAGGGAGGAGGGGAAGGGAGGGAGAGAAGGTCAGAGTGAGTGAAGAAGAAGAGCGAAACGGGAGGGGAGGGAGGGGAGGGGGGAAGGGAAGGGAAGAAACACTGTGTACCTTGAGCACGGACCAGTCGAGGCGGGCGCAGTCCTGTGATTGTCGTTAGCTTGGTCTGGCGTGTAGGGACAGGATAAAGCGATGATCTGCTGCCTGTAGAATAAAGCGATAAAACGCAGATATGCAGCGAAAACGCATGCAGCCTCGGATGTACGCAGACAATCCAGATCAAGACAAATGGCGAAGAAACGCAAAAGCACTTTCTCCTGCGCAATGCGCCCGAGCTCGCCGAAGAGCGCCTTGCCGAGGCCCTGGTTACGCGATTCGGGGGACACGTAGAGGTCTTCGAGCTGTGGGCGGAGTTAGCGTCGATGTTTTGTTCGTTAAAAGCACGAGAATAAAATAAAAGACGAAAACGGGGAATGCAGCTCGAATAGAGGGCAGGAGTGCAGGGAACGGAACGCGCAGGAGTACATGGAACTGAGGGCAGGAGTACCAAGAAAGGAACGCGCACGCACATACATCCCGGGCCTTCCCGTCCACGTCGAGTAGTTGAAAAAGTACAGCGCCAGCCCCACGGGCTTCTCCTTCGCGGCTTCGCTCTCGGGGGAGGAGAACGCAACCAGCGCGTGTGCGTACGGTGTCTCGAAGAGATTTTTGCGGAGCTGTCAATGATACAGGATACGGGGTCCGTCTTTTCTTAGCAAAAGCAACTTGGAATCAGAATTCGGGAGCGACGCACGAGCGCGGGGGTGGCTTTCACCGACTCGGGCTCCTTCTCGTATGTCGCCTGTCCATGTCCAACAATTAAAATCTTGACAACTTGAAGAAGTTGGAAGGGACGCACCAAATCGACGATGAGCTGCAGAATGTTGTCCTGCGGCGGCGCCAGCGTCAGCTTCAATCAACCCACACCGCATGCAGCACAAGACCAGATATCCGATATCCGAAAAAAATGGACAGTGCGAATCCCAAAGGTCGCAAGCGGTAAAATCGCGCGCGGGAATCGGGTATTTCGGAGGGAGCAGGCAGGGGGCGTGGTACTCACGACGTCTTCGGGACGCGCCGCGCGGATGACGGGGGCCATTTATTTGTCTTGTGGGGTTGCGAGGTGCCGGATGTATGTCGTATGTCGCGACTCTTGTGCGAATCGATCGGGTTGCGGGTCGCGGATTGCGGATTGGAGTGCGAGTTGAGTAATAGGTCGCCGAGGGCAATTTGTGGCTCGAACTTGGAAGTTGCTGCGAGAAGAGTTGGATTTCGGGTGCGGGGGACGTGTGTATAATTAATTTACGCCGCTCGGGGTGGGTGCACGCGGAGAGTGCCTTTGGTGGGATCTTTTGCGATTTGGTTGGTTGACCGACATAACGAGCGCGACGCGTACCAGATGTGCAGTTACATATTCCCCAGAGCCCTAGACAGAGCCAAAGGCGTTTAAGGTGTTTCAAGGTTGGATTGGTAACTGGCTAGGACGCGACGTATTTTGACATGTTTATTTGACAAGGTTATTGCACTTTTCTCGTCGGACGCCTGCGCCAGTCCACTCGCCCTACACCCACTATGCCCCCCACATTCGAC